GCCACCACTGCTCCCTGGGCTGCTGGGCCCGCCTGCTCCCTCCAGCCCAGCCTGGAAGCAACGCGCGAGAGCCAGCAGCAGCTGAAACAGAACTGTGGTGATGGGGGTTCAGCCCCGCCTCTGGCAGCATCTCGGGGGGTTCTGGCTACTGAAGGGGTGTGAGGTAAGGAAGGGCACGTCTGAGCTCCTCCTCATCGCACCAACGGAATTCTGACCCCACGGCCAGAAACGTCGGTGCATCGTGAATTAAACTTGTCAGTCATTGAAGACCAGGCATGATCATGTTGGTTTTACAGGGGCACAAGCGACACTGTATCACGCGGCATCACCATGACAACACTGAAATGACAGCCCGTGACACAGCATCTCTCACCCCGTCTGGCTCTTAACCCTAAGAATCTGTGACTGCACTCACTGAAAAATAAGGGTACATTCACAACACACTCTGATAAAGCTTTACCTCGATATGTTCCTTGGTGATAAGCCAGGGTCTGTGAGCCAACATTTTGTTGAGTTCTCCTAAATTCTGCAGTTTTTGAGGTGCGTTTTCCAGACCGTTCAACCACTTGGGGTCTCCGCCGACGTGAAGGAAGTCGTTGACGTGGAGGTTAACCAGGTAAGAGCACTGATGCCGTGCTGCAGCCTAGAGAGGAAAACACAGCTGTGATACAGAAGGCAGTCACAGGACATTGGTGCTGTATGACAAGTGCTGTAAGTCATCGCTTCCTCAAAACATCCAAGACTAAGACACGCAGTGATCAAAGACTCAAGTAAAAACAACTGGCTTAACACATCAGCCTCTTTCGATTACTGTTCTCACAACATAAACATCCCTCATTGATACACACGGTACTGCTGCTGCCTGACGAGCCTGTACCCAGGCAGAAGTACAGGCACACATGTACTGCATGGCCTGAAGCAAGTATGCCGCACAGCAGGGAAAAACCATCCAGTTCCAACCCCCCTGCCGTGGGCAGGGACACCTTCCACTAGACCAGGTTGCTCAAAGCCTCGTTCAGCCTGGCCTCGAACACTTCCAGGGATGGAGCATGAATCCTGAATCGTGAATCCTGACCAGCCAAACCAAAAGCAGGCTTTAGAACATCTACAGCTGACTAAGGGCAGCTCTTCAGCAAAAAGCAGAGCCGGTATCGTTTATTCCAACGGCAATACTTTCCCCATCACACTGAGACACAGCCCCAGACTTGGATTCAACTTCAGCAGGCAAAGAGCACTGCCAGACTGGAAATTGTGAAATCAACCCCTTCTGGCAGAAAAGTTGCTTAGAACGTGGAGGTTTAGAAATGGGTGATGGGCCTGTTGAGTTAGAGGGGAGGTGTGTTCGACAGGCCACCCACACAAACAAGCTTTCCTGAAAACCAGTTTCAGAGACACTAAGGAAACCAAAAGTAAACAATTGTCTTATTTTTATAACATTTTGTTGTCTTATTTTTATAACAGATTTTTTTCCCCTCCTTTCTCACAGTCCCGACGAAACTGCGAACACAAAGTCCCGCTCTTACGAAACAACGTGTGAACCAGTCACAACCAAACCTCCTCTGCCTTTCCCCTTAGCTCCTGACGAAATGCCTCTCCAACCAGAAACTGCCAAACCCAAAAACTGCCAACCCAGGAACAGCTGCTGCCAAACCACGACCGGAGCGCGTTGCTGAAGCGGCTGTGTGCTGGCGTACCATTATCCCGATGTAGTGGCGGTAATGCAGCGGGAGCGGACCGTCCATCTGCAGCAGATAGTGCTGAGTTTTTAGAAAGCTTTCGAGATACTGCGGGTGGAAAACCATCACCAAGGTAACGTTGTCCAACCGGCCCAGCGTAGCGAAAGAATCGGCAAACAGCGCGTGCATCATGGCGTCTTCGTTTCCCACCTGAATCGTCTGATTGAACAGAAGGAGCAATGAGCAATATTGTCTAAGAGGTACCAATAAACACGTCGATCGGTGTATTCCCAGAGCACCCAGAGGCCCCGGTGAAGGGAACTGTATTATAAATCCGTTAATGGCGGTCAATTGTAAGGCAGGGCACATACAACCCCTCTGACACCTCTCATTTAGGAGATTGCAAGTTGTGACATCAGCAAAAGCAGGCTTTTGGCTTTACGCTTGCTCTTGGACAACACTGACTTCTCATTCTCAACCGCCTCACTTTCACTTTCTTGAATACCCCAATTTGATCTAACTTAGGTTATTAGAACTGCAGAAAGCTCATGAAATGATCCCAGGATGGTTTGGGTTGGAAGGGACCTTAAAGACCACCCAGTTCCAACCCCCCTGCCATGGGCAGGGACACCTTCCACTAGACCAGGTTGCTCAAAGCCTCATCCAGCCTGGCCTTGAACACTTCTAGGGATGGGGCATCCACAGCTTCTCTGGGCAACCTGTTCCAGTGCCTCACCACCCTCTCCATGAAGAACTTCTTCCTGATATCCAATCTAAACCTCCCCACTTTCAATTTAAACCCGTTCCCCCTTGTCCTGGTACTCCAGGCCCTTGTAAAAAGTCCCCCCCAGCTTCCTTGTAGCCCATAATCATTTGTACTAAGGGAAAAAGAGGGGAAGAAGTAAAAAGCTAGCTAAGAGGAGAAGAGAGAAATAAAAGGAAGCTGCAACTTAAGGCTCAAAAATTCCTAGAAAGTCCCAAGGCGTATTACTAACTTTGCCTCGGTTCCAGATTCTCTTACCAGACGATCGGGAGAGAAGCGGCAGGAACACTCGGCCGCAGCACTCCGAAACTGCTCCAATTATGCAGAAGGGTAGAGGTAGCTCAAGAAAAAGTCACCCCAGCCCGGGGCAGGGCGGGGGAGGAGGTGCCTCGCAGACCAGTAGGAAATCACACGCAGACCAGTAGGAAATCACACGCAGACGCTCACAGGGAAACAGACACTCTCAAAGAAAACAGCATCGACTTTCTCTTGCGCTAGACAGCAGCAGCACAGGAGGGCTCTGACTATTCCAAAGCTCCCCTGGGCTCTCCCTGCTTCTGTAGGCTAGAACTGTGGCCAAAGCCTCACCAGGACTGAATGTGATCGTGCCCGAAAATGTTTTGCAGCTCAGCAGCTGTCCTGAAACCAGACGTGGGTTACTCCTAAAGAGGTGTCCCTTAAAAGCATAAAGTTCACCGTGTACTCGAAAACATTACCACACCTCCTTCTCAGGGATGAATCTGCTTGGTCCGTGGCCCAGTGGTCTAGGAATTCTTACTCCAAGTTCCTAGAAAAGAAAATTGCACCATCTCAGCATTTAGTTATAAACAGCTTTTTAGCTGCGGTTGCAAGAAAGGGAAGAACTCTCCATTCCGAGCGGGACTTCTTCGGGTGCTCGGTACTGACATGGGTACCTTCACTCGCACCGTCTCTACGAACGCGCATCGTTTTTTTTAACCAAAGTGCTTTATAATTAGCCACGCTTGTTTACAGCGTGCTGCCCCGCTCCAGCGACACAGCCTTCCACAACGAAAGCCCTGCCCGCTGAAGGAAAACACACACAAATTTGTATGGGCGCAGGCTGCAACCTGGTTGGCGGAAAACTCTGCATAAAGCATATTTTGGCAGGGTGTCCAGAACAAGGAGTTCGGTACGCAGCCGGCTGCTGCGCATGTGGTTATGCCACCGAGACAAGACCGATGCGTGTGTGTGTGTGTGTGTGTGTGTACATCCGCAGTACGCCAGCACATCACACTCCGTGCATCTGCCAGGAAATGAAACAGCTGTAACCCTCATCAGATTTCTTTTTTCCCCAACCTCAAAGAGCTCTTAAACTGCTGAAAGTACCTGATGTACATTTGCATCTGCTTTCTTTTCAAGGCAGGATAAAAAGCTGCTCAAGCCGGGAGGGAGGGAGAGGGTTTTGCTCAGTCAGAACAGCAGCAGCCAGGTCATGGACATGCTGCCCTGAGGTACGAGGGGGGCTGGGTACCCCTCCAGCAGTTCACAACTTGCCCTCTCCCTCGGCTGGTGGGAGGTGTCCCTGCCCATGGCAGGGGGGTTGGAACTAGGTGGTCTTTAAGGTCCTTTCCAACCCAAACCGTTCTATGATTCCAGCTAGGGTTGAAGATGAGTGCTAAACACTGAGTGATATATATATAAACGAGTGGTTTGGGGTCCTACCTGTTCCCCCTCCCTTGATCATCCTTTAAAACACATCCATTGCCTCCATTCCATAGCCCGAACCCCTCGTCTTCCGATGCCACCAACCCCATCCTTGTTCCCAACTGGGTTCGGATAAATAAATATGGCATAGCGATCCAGCTGAGGCTGGAGGGAGCGGAGGGGGGCACCTTCGGCTGTTCCAGGTCTCAGGAGCGAACGCAGCCCTAAAAGCCGCCTGCTCAATGCAGTTTAAACTGTGCTGTGCCGTGCCCACGTAGATAAAGGTCGTTACAAACAGCGACACTGGTCTCGCTCGCCTCTGCCTCCCGTGGAGGTTTCTATTTGCACGAGCTCAGCGTATGAGAACCAACTTGATTCCTCAGTTACCGTTCGCTGAGCTTTCCCCCAAGATTAAAAAGCAGCTTCGCAGAGCTGGAAACGATCGGCCCAGGTGTGAGTCGGAACTACCAAAACCCATCAGACCCTGACGTTCTCCTTAAATCCCGTCAGATGCCTCCATTCCTCAAGTCTTACTTGGATAAAGCGAGGTCAAAGGGCAGCTTTCACTACTTGGTCTTTTCACACTTTCCCTGGGATGCTAAAGTTTGCGATGTGGTTTTTTCCTTGATGAGGGTCCCAACATTCCCACACAAATTTTGCCCCGCAGCCAGGTCTCTAGGAATGCCACTTTGTCGGACAGAATTTGTATCTTAAAACCACCCTCCCTCCTCAAAGCTCTAGTACAGCTCCTGATCTCGGCTACAACTGCACAGGCAAACCAGAGAAACACCTTCCATCCAAGTGACGGCAGGGAAAGAAGTCCGTGCACACCGTGTAACGCAGCAGGTGTCCACAGTCATCCGCCAACTCCGGCTCTTCAAGAGATACACCTCGAAGTGTAATTCTTGAACAGCTACCTTTCAGTCTTCCCCTTTCCCGGGACAGTTGCAGGAAGAGGAAACCCCAAGATTTAAGAACCCGAGATCAGCAGGCTGCCTCTCAGTCTGAAATACATCGGGATCGCTACGCTTCCCTTTTTTTTTTTTAACTCGTGCAGAGGTCAGACGGCTGCGATTACACTGCACGTCACAGGTTATGTTGCTCGAGTAACCAAACCCTGTCTGCAAGGTGATTTTAGAGTGTTTTGGGGGACTGAATAAGTTGCTTTGCTTTCCGTCATGAAGGAAAGCCTTCCCCTGCCATCGCGGCACTGGCCTAAGTATTTGGGAAGCCTGGGCTCAAGCCTCTTCTGACAGAGCCGTTGCAAGGGATCTGTGAACACCAGCCTCAGTTTCCCATCTGTGCAACAGGTAAAAGCATGTTTTTCTTCCAGAGGGTGCTGAGCACAGAAATAAGCTTTGTGCCACAAGGTGCATGGTTGCCAGAGTCATGAGAGCTGTAGAAATTCTGAACCATTAAAAAGTCTTATTCTTCAGTTATGAGCTAAGGCAGACCTTTTAAAAACTGTTTTCCTCTCTTTTTCAGAAGCAGCATTTAATCGAGTTCTCCTGGTCCTTGTGAAATACCAGGCATCTCCCAAGTGCTTCCAGCATCCCAACATTTCAGGTGCTGCACAAACACAGTGATAATTCTCAGCACAGTCCTAGAGGACCTTCCCTTTGTTCTGAACAAGTTTCTATGCTCCGTGATGCCCTTCCCTAAGCCTCCATCTTCTGAATACACCCAAGGAGTGCAGCTCTCCAGCTTTCCCTCTCCAAGCCAAGACCCTGGTCCTGACCAGCCACACCACCACATCTCCCTCCTCTTAAAGAAGCACCTCACCCGGAGCACCAACAAGCACTCGGCAAGGCAGCCAGCACCAGCAGCACTTGCAAACAACCCATATTTATTCGGGTCATTACAGCCGTATAAGCAACTTCACGCGATTCCAGACCGGCGAGTTGCACACCCAAGCGACCTACTTTGTGCCCTGTTTTCCACACCAAACCTCTCCTGGCTTCTTTCCTCCTGTTCGTCAACCTTACCGCACCACTTGCATTCAGCCTAGAAACTCTGCACCTGAACACAGCTCCAAGCTCAGCAAAAAGCCAACCACAACTGAGGCTTTGGGTGCAAATAATTCGTAACGACAATAATAATGCAGCAGAGGCACTCCAGCTTCAAAGCCAGGACGTCAAACTTGCATGGCTGCAAAGCTGAGCACCAACGGTGGAACAATTTCCCCTTTGACGCCCAGGAGCACCATGTTCACCAGATACCTGTCATTTTTGACAGTACACATCCCTCATCACTGCTTTATCTGAGCATCTCCTGTGTTTAACCACGCAACATTCCTGGGAGACTGGACAAGGGTATTATCTCCCCATTCAGGAAAAAAAAACCCGGAGAAGCAGAAAAGCTACGTGTCTAACAGACACGGGACGGGCGGCTGGAACTGGGATCTCTCACGGGCTGATGCCCTAACCATCAGGCTGTTTGCCTTTGCAGAGACTTCTCAGCCAGGAAATACGTTTTGTGCACATTTACACCAAGAAACAGCTCTTCAGAGCTGAGACAGAAGCATTAATGAGACAAGTCTGCAAACTGCATTATACACTTCCCATTCTCTCACTGGCCCACTTAGTGCACCCAACTCCACAATGACAACCCAACAAAGATCACAGAATCACAGAACGGTTTGGGTTGGAAGGGACCTTAAAGACCATCCAGTTCCAACCCCCCTGCCATGGGCAGGGACACCTTCCACTAGACCAGGTTGCTCAAAGCCTCATCCAGCCTGGCCTTGAACACTTCCAGGGATGGGGCATCCACAGCTTCTCTGGGCAACCTGTTCCAGTGCCTCACCACTCTCTCCCTGAGGAATTTCTTCCTGATATCCAATCTAAACCTGCCCACTTTCAATTTAAACCCATTACCCCTTGTCCTGTCACTACAGGCCCTTGTAAAAAGTCCTCCCCAGCTTCCTTGTAGCCCCTTCAGGTACTGGAAGGTGCAATAACGTCTCCCCGGAGCCTTCTCTTCTCCAGGCTGAACAAGCCCAACGCTCTCAGCCTGTCCCCATAGCAGAGGGGCTCCAGCCCTCTGAGCATCTTTGTGGCCTCCTCTGGACTCGCTCCAACCGGTCTATATCCTTCTGATGTTGGGGGCTCCACAGCTGGACGCAGCACTCCAGGTGGGGTCTTGTGCACACACATGCTCACAGAAGACCACTCTAACCCACAAATGTGTATAAACTCACTCTGCCTACAGCTTTTCTGTGTCTTAAGAATCGAGCCCTCTTTTAGGTAACTTCTTCAAGTGCCCTGACAAGAGCAGCATACCTACCACATTTAAGTAAGAGCTCAAGATGGAAATTGAACTGCAAATGCTTAGAAAAGATTTTTAAATAAAGTGTGACACGCATCACCTCTGCCAGTCACCTGCTTCGCTCTGAACATCTTTGAAAGACAAATGAAGAAAACAAAAAGCCACTTCTAAACAGACACCCAGTGTCAGGAATTCCACCCAGAGACAAGTTACAAGCCAAGAGGCACAGCCTCTACAACAGGAACAGCTACCTCACCTACAGCTCTCGCTCCACAGTGGGTCTAAAATGCTTTTGCAGATCCTTGTTCCCTTCCCCCCGGCACTGGCTCCACGCCTCTTATCGCCAAACCTCTCCCAAAACTCAACTGCAGTTCTGTCAGAGGAGCACGAGGACCGTCACCAACCTCAGCCATTTGGGATTTACGGGCTGAGCACCAGCTGCGAACCACGACCTTCGGGCTGCTTCCTTGGCTCTAGCACAGTGAGTCATTCCGCTGCCCCCAAGTACAGGCGGTACCAATATCAAACGTTCTATCTCCCCGAGAGGCTTATTTACATACTTACTTAACCCTCCTCCAAATGGCAAAAAGAACATTTTATCACAGACAAGCCACAGGCAAAGTGAAAACGTAATTATCGATTTACTTCACCAAACCACACGTGGGTTAACATCTTCATCTCAATCATCCTGTGTCCTGATTAAGCACTAAATACAGCTCAATTCAAGCAAAAGCGTATGAAAATCACACGCTGTAATGCAATATAAAAGAACCTAAAGGAAGGAACTGGAGAAGGGAAATGAGTCTGAGGGGACCTTTTAGGAAGGTCCGTTTTCCTAGACAACCAGTGAT